CTATCACTTGAGCTTTACCTCCTTCTTCCAACAATCCACTCCTTGTAATATTTAATTACCAAGATAGAATTAGTCTGATTTTCAACAAGAGAATATCCATTCTTTTCATGAAGGAGAAGAAAACTAAATTAAGGTGGTAATAATAGGATTCTATTTAGTCAGTCAGAAAAGGGAGGACATCTGGTCAGGAGGGAGGAATTCATGGATGTTTTATTTCATTAAACAATAATCATTATGTTTTCTCTTTTTTTTTTTCTAAAAGGTCACCAGGGTGTCAGAATTGTCACCTTTTCTTTCCAAATATTTCCTGAATTTGTTTATTTTTTACTATCTCCACAGCCATTTTCACCAATATACTATTATCTCTTTCTGGAAGATGGCCCTCTAACCAATATCTCTTACTATCTACCTTCTAATCTTCTCTGACACCATTCAGGCCCATCCTTCAATCCTTCAAAATTTAGTCAGATTGATGAGTGAAAGGAAGTATTCAGTTGTGGCTTCCATTAAGAATGTTGATAATTGTATCTTTAGATTTAATTATCTCCTAACAATCTCCTTAAACTGCTGCTTTCAGCATTCAGACCAGTAAAAATTTACCAGTGGCACTCATATTTACAGCCACAGTGACAAACTGGCTCAGTTTGATAAATGCAATTGATGCCCTTGCATATTCAGAAAGCCCCTACTTTTGGGACTTTCTAGACATTAGAGGATCAATTATAACAATATAGAGAAAGACAATTTATATAACATTTAAACGAATAATTCAGGAGCTCTATATAATGCAGTATTAAATAGAAAATGAGAAACATCTGGGGTTTTATTGCTCACAAGACAGTTGAAAATTGATTATATTCAGATGACTGCATTGATACTATATAAAATAATTATGGACAATATATTGATCATAATGAAATATGCCTCTTTTAAGAATGGCCTTACAGCATTTTCTTTAAAATTTTGGAATATTTAAAATTCAAAATAACTGAATGGAGAAAACAAAATATCCCTTGAATAAAAATAGGTCACTTCTTATCTTTGAAAGATTATTCTTCTATGGTGTTTGATTGTTCGTCGTGATCAAAGAAAGGCATGAGTTGACTTAAAATAAATGTATTTTTGTCTTACAGATCCAAGGTTGATTTCTGCAGTTTTTGGTTTCATTCCAACTTAAATTTATATAGGTATTACTTTAAAAGTTCTCACCAATTTAGCCAAAGTTGATTTCACATAGATAGAATAAAGATAATGATCATCTTCTGCCTCTAAAGTATTTGCAAATCCAAGTATAAAACTGCTACAAAGTACAAAATATTACTTTAATAGGATACAAAACATTGAATTCTGAGGCTCTTGTTGAGTACTTCCTTTTAAGATATTTCATGTTAATGTGTCTCCAGCTAATTTTTCTGGCTATACAGCATATGTCTGCTCTCTGTCTTTCTGATAAATGATATCCTCCTACTTTTTCTGTACCCTATGTGTTATTGAAAATGTAAATCTTCTAGAAAAGAGACCCAGCAATGACTTTACCAAAAGACTTTCCAAATTTCTACTTACAAAGTTGGAAATTATTATTTAAACTTTGCAAACTCAAAGTTTTATTTTCTCTTAATTAATTTTAATATAATTTTACTGTTAAGTCAATCTTGTTTTTATTTTTTTCGTTTTTCTTTGGTAAACTGATTGTCTACTTTCTGCATCTTTTCATATGCTTTTATATCATCTTTTTGAATGAGAAAGTCCTGTGAGTAAATCTGGTAAAAGTACTCTTCTGAGTGCTGCTACGGTAGATTTCCCTCCTCTGTGGGATATATATTCCAAGACTCCCAGTGGATGCCTGAAACCAGGCTAGTACTGAACTATATATATACTGCTGTTTGCTATACCTAAATATCTATGATAAAGTTTAATTTTTAAATTTGGCACAATCAGAAAGGGCAACAACAGTAACCAATAATAAAACAGAAAAATTATAAGCATATGCTGTATTAAAGTTATGTGAATGGGTTCTCCATTTTCCCTCTCTCTCAAAGGACTGCAATATTTTTGAACCAAGGTTGACTGCAGGTAACTGAAACAATGGAAAATGAAACCATGGATAAGGGAACACTACTGTACTAATGATGCAGCTCACTACCCTTTCGTGTAACTTTGTCAAAAATAGAAGAATAGAAACTTGAAACATGAAAATTGGTATGACTCTGTGAAACAGATGAAATTAAGCTGGCCCTTAAGGAAACTAAATATTGAGACATCACTTTTTTAAAAAAATGTAACTAAACATACAAATCTAACCTGAAGTTTATCCTTGACCTTCTTTGGGTTTCTGATGTGTTCTTTCATTAGATTTATCATTAATCTTCTTAAAATACCTATTAAGCCTGCCTAATATATGCTTTGACTGTAACACTTTCAATAATGGCTGCTATTGATTTAGTCCATGTGTCATTAGACAAGATCCTCTCATAATTCTGACATTTATCTCATACTATACTTTCCATACTTATGGAGGCAAAATAAGGTGTAGGATTATGAGCAAAGGCTCTGGTATCGAAGAGGAGTTCAAATATTGGATCTTTCACTTAACAGCTATACTACCATGAACATTTCTAATATCTTAGTCATCAGGATAGACTAAGTTATGCTGGAGTAGCAAATATCTCCCAATCTTATTGTCTTAAAACAATAGAAAGTTATTTTTTAACTCATGCTACATGTCCATTGAGGTTTATCTTGAAAAAGTAGATGTAAATTGAAACTATGCTCATTTTAATCACTCATGAAAAAATACTGAAGAACTGCCACAATTAAATATTCTCTATAACTTTTCCAGGACAAAGAGAGCTTTGCAAAGTTTTGACCTGGCGGTTAAATTATTGACTTTTAGTCAAAATGAATTGGCCACTCATCAATCACATAACTGAAATAGCAGAGATGGGACCAGGAAATTGCCCTAAACTGTGCCCAGTTAGAAAAGAGTTGGAATTATTTGATGAAAATTTCTATTGACTACTACATTTATGTCTCCTGGTTCTTTAAAGCAAAATACTTAATTGTATATTTCAAAATAACAAAAAGAGTGTAATTGAATTGTTTATAACTCAAAAGATAAATGCTTGAGGGGATGGATACCCCATTTTCAATAATGTGTTTATTTCACTTTGCATGCCTGTATCAAAATATCTCATATACCTTACCTATCTATCTATCTATACCTACTATGTACCACAAAAATAAACAATATATAATTATTATAGTGCCTATGCCATAAAGCTGCTTCAAGTAGTTAGATATTGAATGTAGAATTCTTATCATAAGGTATAACATATAGTGTAAATTATTAAACCTAGCACTATTTCATCATAATTTTTATCTGCAACAATATGGTAGAAAGGGAATGTTTGCTGTTTTTTAGATTTTCTTCTTTATCCTTTTTCTTTTTACTTATTTTATTATTATTATTATTATTATTATTATTTTTGAGATGAGTCTCGCTCTGGCCCCAGGCTGGAGTGCAGTGGTGTATGATCTCAGTTCACTGCAACCTCCGCCTCCAGGGTTCAAGTGATTATCCCGCCTCAGCCTCCCAGGTGTCTGGGATTACAGGCATGCACCATGATGCCTGATTAATTTTTTTGTATTTTTAGTAGAGACAGGGTTTCGCCATGTTGGTCAGGCTGATCTCAAACTCCAGACCTCCTGATCCACCCACCTCAGCCTCCCAAATTGGTGGGATTATAGGTGTGAGCCACTGCACCCAGCCTATCCTTTTTCCTAAGAAAACACAAAATCCACTAGCAACTTATTCTTTCATACTGTGAGGAAAATGAAATATTACGTTTTTACCAGGTTTCTGATTACATATGTATTTTGTTACTTTTCCACATCTCTTATACCATTTTCATAACAAATAATACACATTTTCACAATAAAATTCCAAATTAAATTATAATATACTGAAAACAACTGTATTATACAATTTGTAACCTTTTATTTCTAATTCTTACCATGCAAGTTAAATATTATTAATCTCAGTTTAGCAATGAGGAAACTCATGTTCACAGATGGAAAGATGTTTGCATAACGCTACATAGGTAGTAAATGGCAGATTTCTGTCTGACCCCAAAACTATACATCAAAATATACAACATTTCCCTATTCTAACCAATTGCTTGGTCATTTGTAGTTTACAATTATTCTGCGTGATTGTTTAACCTTTAAAAGTTTCCGTGTTAGGTAGGTATCATTTACATGGTACTCATTCTGAAGATAAGCACATTAAAGTTCAAAGGTAGATAAATTACTGGCTAAGAATCAAACTAATGACTTCTGAGATAGTTGGGTTTTTTGTTGTGCTTTGTTCATTTCTTATGAATCAAGGTTCTCTGACCTCAGAACTCCAGCTTTATTTTTATTTTATAAGTGTTTTGTTTTGTGAGATGTTTTGTGAATACTGATTATGAACATAAGGTGCAAGAGAAGGCTTATCATCAAATAACTTTCAGAATGATTTAAAGTAGATTTCCTTACTACAGGTCTTCTCAGGTATTTTAATATCTTCATGTGCATTTAACTCCTCAAGAAATGAGTGTATAATGCAATATGATGCAGTGCAATGATCCTAAAATGTATACATTTCACAGAAGCAGCCACAGTAGAGTATTTGATGAGACATATCTATCCTCTGGATACAATTAGAGTAATTCCTAATTCCTGAGGTCCTTCACATTAGACAGTAAAGTTGACAATGTGGTTTCTGGTTTTTCTTGCCTGGCTGCTTGACTTTTTAGAAAGAAAGCAGTAGCATCATTCTGATTAAAAAGAATAGAATCACAAACTACATACTTCTTCTATAGTTTTATTTCAATTTAACTGGATGGAAAAAAAGTATTTTTCTAGAATAACCAATTTTTTTAATTAAAAGAAAACTATTTGAAGACTTAGATATAACAAAAATAATAAACATAATTAGTTTACAGATTCCTGTATGTAGTTTATTTCTTACCTACCATTTCAATGAGAGAGCCAACTCCTTAGAGAATTAATTGTTTACGGGGTGTGAACATGATACTAATTTAACTCAAAACTAAAGGTATACATTATGTATTCTGTTTCTTCTGAAATCTCAGATGATATTCATGTTGACATAAACAAACAGCTTCTGAGACATTCCTAAGAAAGGTCTAGAGGAGTAATACATTTACATTAAGTATTAATGAATATTAGCCATATATTTTAAGATAGAGTATAAAACATTATTTTTTTGTGATTTAATGGTAAAATTAGGATAAAACTTAGAAAATCAGGAGAGAATAATCAGACAAATGTTATGCCTTGATATAGTAGAAAAGCAATGGAGAAAAAAGAAAGAAAAGGTAATATTGTGTTAGGAAATGGAGGGAAACGTTGAGTGACTATAACAACAAAGCCTACATTTAAGAAGGGCAAGAACTGGGATTTAAAGTAGCATTATGTGGAGCTTGATATATTCTGAAGACATGCAGAAAGATAATTTTGAGCATACAGTTCAAAAGTCAAATGTCTGCAGATTGAGAAATTTCAACAGGATAAAGGACCTTCACATTATTCCTTGGTATTAGCAGGGGATTGGTTCCGGGACCTTCTGCAGATGACAAAATCCTTGGACATCAAATTCAAGGATGCTCAAGTCCCATATAAAATGCCATAAGATTTGCATAGAACCTAAGCACATCTTCCCAAATACTTTAAATCATCACTAGGTTACTTAAAATATCTAATACAGGGTAAATTCTACGTAAATAGGTGTTATACTGTATTGTTTAGGAAATAATAACAAGAAAAAATGTGTATACATTTTCAGTACAGAAACATTTTCTTTTCCAGAATATTTTCAATCTCTGCTTGGTTGAATCCACAGATGCAAACAAAACCTACAGACATGAGGGCTAAGTGTATGTGCAAACTGGCCACAAAAGTCCTGGCTTTCTTCAAAGTTGCATCCTAATAAGGGCAGAGTATCTGGTACAATGAATCTGATTGTAATTTACAAGAAAATCACCTCTACTGCCTACAATATGTTACCTCATTCGTTTCCCAGTTCCTAATTTGTACCTTTAGACCCTTAGAACATAAAGTAGTTCCTGAAGGAATGGAGGGCTCCAAGTGGGATGATTTGAGTAGCTCATTTTAGTGGCTTTTGTGATGGAAATATGTGAGGATGGGTGAACTTTAGTACCGATTTTTCGTTCACATGACAAGAACGTCTACATAAATCATGTTGTTCTCCCATTTAAGTAATTACCAGGTTTGAAGACAGTTAAAACAAATGATAGAAGATATTTTAGGTTAAACAACATGGTTTTGCTTTCATTGACATCAACCATAATTAGGCCTAAAACTGTAAGTGCAGAAAAGCATGTTAGTGTCTTTTATTTCTTTCAAGTATATTCATTTAGTTGACTTTTTCAAAAATGTTTTGGTTTATTTTGCCTTCTGATAAGAGTAGGACAATTTGAAGAAAAGGTTTTCTCACTTCCTTAAAATTATGAAAGAATTTTATTCTGGAATTGCCTGAGAGGTAAATGGAAAATATGCTCAATTGGCCCAAATTCTTTATTAAACAACATTATAAGTGAAAACCTGTTTTCCCTGCTATTATCTGAGTGCTATGCTTAAAGAAACAAATAAACACCCTGACAGTTGACAGACAAGAAATATGTTTTGTTTCCTTTTTTATTCCAGCTTCATTATTTTCCACGGAGATGGATTCTCGAAGTGACAGGCTGTGTTCATTTCAGTTCAACCGTTCATTGACTTGTGCAACATATCAAATTCCTTACCAAAGTGGAAAAAAAAAAAAAAAAGAATGAAATTTAGCTATGATTCAACACAGAGAAATTTACATGTTGGGCAAGGATTCTTGTTATTTAAAGATAAAGGCATTTTTGAAACTCCACTGAAAAATGTCTAAAATTTTTCTAATTTTGGTTTCATGATATATCCTACTAATCTGCCACCACTTATTAATGGCAGTCATAATTTAAAGCCCTCTAACACTGGCACTGCATATCTCATTAAGGTATCTCCTCCCATTCTTCCTGCAAACATGACATTGAGGAGATCATTGTATGACTTACAAAGATAATTGCCACAAGGTTCTAAGCAGCCTTGATTCTGCTCTGGCTTAGAGCTTGTCAGCCTACTGTCAGTGCATGATTGTAGAGCTCTTATTAGTTAAATATTCTTGGCAGAATCTCACAAATAGTATGCTTTTAATGTTTGAAAGTTTAAACAGCTTGACATTTTAAAGGTTATCACTTTCTTTCCCAGGATAATTATTTCCAGTGTCAATAAAGTATTTTTTAAAACCTGTGTATTGACAATAGAAATAAGTTAGAAGTTCATCTTTTACAGATTTATTTCAGTGTCATTTTAGGAAATAACACATAGTGTTATAAACAGTAGGTGATATAATTATGAGTCTTTTTTTTTTTTTTTCACATATAGTTATTCTGTGCTTATTCTTCTGAAATCATGTAATGCAAGATAAAGCTTAGATAAACTAGAGTTTAAAGGTCTGAAAGTTGAGATAAAAGCCCTAATTTCATGGCAAAATTGCAAAGTCTTCACACTTGCTTTAATGTAGGGAAAAGCTAATTTAAATTTAAAGTCACTTTGAGAACAGAAGTAAATTAGCTGGGGGAACTCTTGGATTCCCACCCACCTTTGAACTCTGGCTATGATTGGAAAAATAAGAACAATTTCTTATCTGTTAAGTATAGCAGAAGTATGAAAACAAATGCAGAGACACTTGGAAATATAAGTTTTCTAATTAAGAAATTTCCAAATAATTGCAGTATTGAAGCAAGAAATATTTATTAGAAGGAACTTTAAATTGCTTAATAAACTACAGAATTGAATAAATGCTTACTTATGGTCTGAATACAGAAATATTGACTCTCAGAATCTGAAAAATGACACTTACCATGTTCTTGAACAATTCCTGATAAGGAAAGCTACTTTAGCAAATAAATTCCCAGTGGTTGGACCAGAATTCTTTTTTGAAAAGGTGTTTTTCAAACTGAACCAAAAACTGCTTTTCTGCAACTCTCATTTATGGTTGTGGTAGCAAAATGAACTCTGCAAAAAAATAGTCACATCCTAATCCCTAGAACTTGTAAATACTTGCCTGTTACATGGGAAAAGGGACTTGCAGGTGTTGATTAAGGTTCAGGATTGAGATGGTTAGGTGTAGATGATAATACATGAGGCCTAAAAGCAGAGAACTTTTTCTAGCCAGAAGCAAGACACATGGAGCCAAAGTGGAGGTCAGAGAAATCTGAAGCAATAAAAAGGCCTCTATTTGTCCATTGCTGGCTTTGAAGATGAAGAACCATAGGCCCTGGGGAGTGCCTGAGGCACTCCCTAGAGCTGACAACAGCGCCAGTTAAAACAAGTGGAGCTAACAAGTACTTAGTCCTAACACTGTAATCAAGTGAATTCTGAAAACCACCTGGAAAAAGCAGGAAGTGAATCTCTGCAGAACTTCAGATAAAGGCCTACAGTGGACTTTCTCATGAAGACCCCAAAGCAAAGAAACGTCCAACGCCACCTAATTTGTGAACACAGAATTATAAAATAATTTTATGTTGTTTTAGGTGTTAAATTTGTGGTAAATAAAAATGATAGCAATACAAAATAATACAGTTTTCAGTGGTTGTTTCTCTGGCCAACATAGAAATATCTATAACTTTTCTACCAACTGCCTGGAAACATTTCAAATTTTCAAAAATAACTTAATGTCAACTGGGCGAACTGCTCACACCTGTATCTCAGCACTTTGGGAGACCCAAGCAGGAGGATTGCTTTTAGGCCAGGGCATTCAAGGCCAGCCTGCAACATGGCAAGGCCCATCTCTATAGAAAATTTTTAAAAAATTAAACAGTCTTGGTACATGCACCTGCGTTTCTTTAATTACGGGAGGTTGAACCATGGGAAAGACCTCACTTGAACCCAAGAGCTGATGGCTGCGTGAGTCTGTGGTTGATTGCACTTGTACTCCACCTGGGTGACAGGAGTGAGACCCCTTCTCACAAGGTATGTAATTAATTTATTTCCCATATGCCATGCTTCCTCCAATGCTCTGTCATCAAACTCTGGTCTGTGTTTTATAAACACAGTGATCAGAAGTAAATGACTTACAAGAACACAGAAAGATTCTGCTTACTTATGGTTAAATTATGGTATAACAATGCAAGATTTTTTTTTTTTTTTTTTTAAAGATTTCTAATGGCTCTGACCATCTTAAATTGGCACAGTTATATCTTTGGATAATTTTCAACATAGACTTCTTAAACCTAAGTGCATTCCATTTCTAAAATGATCAAGTTTTAAAATCGCCCCTATTATAGCACTCATGGAGCCCACAATTTTATTCCACATACACACATGCAATTGACGTATATTTTTAATAACTTTTCTCTTGCTGATTTTTG